CGCACTGAACTAAAACTCAATCCCCAAAACAAGCAGGAAGTGCAGTGCAGACCTGCTCCACGTCAGCAGAGACTCTGATTAGCCTAACCCTAACCCTGTAGCGGTCTGTGTGGGAAACAGCTGCAGGTCAGTGACAGGTGCGTCTCCTGCAGGTGGGTCGCTATGAAACGCTGCCCTCGGCTTTCAGTCTGGTTCACGAGGGAGCACTTATCCGGTGTTATGTTACTGGACACTGAAACATTCATGACTGCTGAACTGTGTGTTGTCATTTCCACTTATGAGCTTGTTTCTACTGAAGCCTTAGACCATCAACACATCAAATATAAATTAACTGCTTGAACCTATGAATGGTGACGTGTGTGGAACTAAATGATCCACTTTCCAGCTCGTTTCAGGTTCTTAATCAGTGTCTGGGGTTTACTTGGCTGTTGTGGACGTGGTTTAGTGTTCCTTTAAAAACCTCATCGTTTTAACTGCAGTGTAAAATATTTTTTATATTTTATTTTCCAGAGCTGCTGTGTGATGGGATTGTTTTTCTGTTCATAAATGTTAAGTCTGTGTGTATTTTAATGTATTAATTTATTAGCTACTGTAGGGTATATATTCACTCAACTTCACTGCACAGTAGTGATAGTAGTGATCTCAGTATCTTACCACACTGAAGCCAGATTTTGTGGTATTGCCTTCCCCTAATATTCACAGCTGATTCTAATGAACAGCTTCCCTGTGTCTTCCATCTGACATCCGTTCTTGATTTATTTAAAGAGAAGTAACATTTTTGTTTGGACTGTTCCTTTAACCCTATTTTAAATCTACCTGGACATGATCCTGTGGTTCTCGCGTTGAAGTGTTCCACCTCGGCCACCCCCGTACCTTCTCTGGATAGCGCCCCCTGCAGGGACACTGACTCCGCCAGAGCTCTGACGTCACGGGGCCGGTTTCCCAAGATTGCTGCGGGAGTCGGAGGCTGCCGGGCTGGGAGAGTGTTTCCCAGGCTTCCGGAGCGGATATTGAGCTACTGGAGACACTGTGGTTGGAACCTGCGCTTCTTTTTAGGGATTAAAAAAATAAAAATAAATAAATAACCGTTTCCCGAAAAACAAGCTGCGGAGTCTCGGGAGTTTCCACACAGACGAGGTAGGTAGCACCGGTGGCATGCACCGGGAGAATGTCTCACAATAAGACGGTTATGCTAGCAGCAGCGTCCCGTGCTAGCGGCCACAGGAGCCTGTCAACACATGCCGTAGCTTTCCCAGGAGGAAAACCGGCAGCACAACACGACTGAACTACGATATCCACCGAGTTTCTATCATTCCTGCATTCAGCGGTGAGAGTTCTGGTGTTTTTAACAACGGAAATCATCCTTAGATTTGTCTAGCTTGGAGAGGAGTCGACGCCAGACTTCCTTCAGACGTGCGGCCATTTAAAATTGGTTGATAATAAATTGAGTCAGCTATCGAAGAAAACATTATCCAATAGAGGTTTTGAATAACTGAGACACACTCTAAAATTCTGCGTATATAAGAATTTACCGTGACTCTTTATTCAAGTAAAGCTTCAACCTTATCAGTTCACCCAACTGCGCTGCTGTTTGCAACAAAGGGTGTATTCTGGTGAAGGAATAAAGTGCAAATAACCCCCTAGATAAGGATAAAAAGTTGGAGTCTTTTGGTTTGATGATCAATTGTAGATTATTTACATGCCGAATTAAATAGAAGTGTCTCCCAAGTCCAAAAAAGTGTTGAGTCATTGTTCACAGGTTACGTTTGTGGCTGCCAAGCGGGTCGAGTCCAGATTCGGACCATTTTTGAACGAAGTTCGTGTCGGCGGTAGATTGTGTCTGGACATCTACAACGGAGCGCACGTCGGAACGAGCTTTTAGCAAAAGCCTCATTACATTAGAGGGAGCTGAGGAAACACAGAGCTTGGCAGCTGCCAGGAGGATTCAGTGGTGCGTACATGGTATTGGGAGTGTGTTGTTGTGCAGCACCAATATGTCAGAGCTCACAATGAGCCCGGCTGCGGCCTACACGCACAGTCCTGCTGCTGCTGAGCCTGGGAACTAGAATCGGTGGACATGCTTTGCATAAGAAAAAGCTGCGGGTGGTAGTCTGGTCGTTGTGATATTATTGCCTGAACGATGACAAAGGATCGTGTGGTATCCTCAGAGGTCTGGATGCAGGGAACAGGCTCGGCCAGTGCCTGGTTTCATCTGGGTTGCATGATTATATAAGAGCTGTCATAGCTTACTGTGTTTGTCCTGAGCTTGTTTTTATGCTGAAGCTGCTTTGAAATCAGTATTGTGATCGTTTATTCTCACAAAGTAATGCAGCGTGGGCCTGAATGACTCAAACATCACACTAAGTTGTCTTTTATGTCCCTGTGTTATGGATTTATATGCACCGTGTGGTGTTTTTAACACCTGTGGGATCAGTTTACTCTTCCCATAGTGGCATGATCATTATAGTTTGGCTTGTCTTTGATTTTGGTGGGTGCCTCTCCTGCAGCGAGCTCCTGACTTCATAAGGGACTTTGGCTTTTGCTCCTTCCTCACCACATCCTTCTTTTATGACTGAACTGACATAGTTTGTCTTAACAGGAACTAGAGCCATCCTTCCTGATTTCGGGGGGTTTCAGGGACTTCAGGGATCAAAGGCCTCTTCAGTAAATGATCCCGAGTGACTGTATGATTATTGGATTAGTTGGATATTGAGCTTTCATGGGGAAACTGTTTTTGCTACCATAGTGATGTACACTTTATAACTTTTATAGAGTTGAATGTGTATTTAAAAAATATAACTGGTGGCTGGTCATGATTGGTTTTGGCTACAGAGATGTGCTTGGCATCCTGGGATGGGGCTCAACTGTCCAAGTGTCTTACTCATGATAAGCTCTTTAAATGTATCTTTAGCTACTTAAAATATCCTTGTTTACACGAGAAAGCTGAGAATGTTGAGAATTAGGCAGCTGGTTTCCTCCATATACATCTACTCCCATTCTGATTAAAATGTTCAGGCTGTGTTTTGTCTCTGTACACACCTCTTGTATTGTCTTGTATTTCTTGCACATATTAACTCTGAGTAGGAAGCCGGTGGAGGTGGGAGAGGGAAGGAGTGAAATTATCAGGAAACCTAGTCAAGGAATTCCTGGAGTATCCTGGAAGTGTATTATGGATGTTGGGGTTCAGGAAATGGATTCTTGGATCCAGATGATGATCCGGATCAGCACCAAAATCTGTTGGATTGTTCCGTGGGCCGTACCCAACCTCTCCAGAACATGTGGTCTGAATCCATTCATTGCTGTTTGAGCTATGCTGTGAACAAACCAACAAACACCAGTAAAACCACGATAGCTTACAAACCAACAAACACCAGTAAAACCACAATAGCTTCTTCCACTCTCTGCCTCTTCCTCACAGGTTCAGACTGTTCAGATGTTTGGCTGCGGGTCTGTGTGCATGTTCAGAATATCCCAGCACAGCTCTGACCAGCTCCCCTGTCTGTTCAATGACAATTCGTGAGCGAGGCTTCAGACCTGTTGGGCAGAATGCGGTCAAAATGTGAGGTGTTGGTGTCAGTCCATAGGTCGTGAGCAGGCCAGCGCCGCCCGCCCTGCCGTGCAGCAGCAACCTGTACCATCTACTTTCTCCTCACTGGTGGCGACGAAGCACTAGAGGTCATACGGATCCGGTTTCTGGTGGAGATTAGTTATACCACACTGAGCAGACCTCAGCCTCTTGTTGACAAAGGCGATGAAGAGTATCGACTTACACGCCGTCTGCGAGGCCGGCCACCTCACTCCGGGGGTTTCCTGCTCCCTGAGGAAGCCAAAACATCCTGGAGCTGACGCTGTTGTTGTGTTGTGGTTCTCACACACACAAAACAAAGGCTACGTAGGCTCACAGGTTCATTTACTGGGGGTTCTGTGCTGTGACCTTATGGAGTTTGGTGTCAGAGAGGCTGAAAACTAACCTGATCCTTGGCCTCACTGTTGTTTTATGTTCCTCTAGGAGCTGAGAGATGACACTTTGGATCACATCATCTAATGTCCACGTTTTTCTTCTGTCTGCTGTGTAAATCAGTGTCTCAGGCCTGAGGAGCCACGATCATGTGTCAGCATCTGGCTCTTTATACCCATAAACCCTTTGGGGCACATTACAGACCCGCCATTTTCCTCAGGTGGCTGTGAAGGCGCTATTATTAGTCCTTGAATCACGGAGTCAGGGAACAGAAAATGGACTGATTCCAACTCCTACCGCAACATTTATCTTCATTATCAAGTCCTGTTCCTAATGAACTGGTCAAGTCCATGATTAGCTTGTTTTTCTTTGCTTCTTTCTTTGGCTGCTGGTTGGACAGTGATGGACATTCTGTCTCTGGTTTTGATCGTTTATAGACTAAAGAACAAACTGGTCAAATGAAGACGTGACACACACTGTATATCCAAAGTATGCATCAAGCCAGTTTGTACGCCCAGTTAGTCAGTAAAGCGCAGATCCTGTGTATGTATATGAACAAGAATGCAGTAAAATAGGTGACGTGCTCTGTAGGCAGGAGAGCGTAAAAGTCAGATAATACACTGGTACAAAGTAGCATGAAAATTTCTCTATGCAAATTGTATAATCGCATTACTACAGCTGTTAAACAGCTGGAGGAAATGTGCAAAGTTCAAAGCCACTATGTCCAAGACAAATTATTTTACCAAAAGAAAACTAGATGAGTCTGAACTTCCATCCAACATTACGTTGGACAGGTAAAGGTAAAGCCTCTGTCTGTGTTTACTCTTCAGGTCTGGAGGTGTCATGTTAACGTTTAGCAGCAGACAGTCTCTCTGCTGTCACCGCTGGTTGTTAGCAGCAGATCCATGTTTTCATGCAGACTTTGGCTCAGCTGTGAGTGAGTCACGTCATGAAAATGCAAATGAGGCCAACCTGGCGTTGTATCATTATGGTGGCGAGGGCTGTAATCGTGAAATGGGAGTCAAAGCGAGGCCTCTGCCAGGTGATGTTTGGGAGTAGGCAGGTCTGACGGGGCCTGTTTGCTATTAAAACAACCTGAGCTGAAACAGTGACAGACCCTCTTTGCTTCAGCTCTTAGTCCAGAGAGATTCCGGCTGTTAACTTGAGCATGAACCAGGTGTGTGTCTGTAGTATGCCTTGTCCTGGTTTGTCACATTACTCGTTAGGTGTCTGAGGCTTCACCCCCAAAGGACTTCTCTTAAACATTCCAGTGAGATGGGAGTACTGGTTTCAGCTGTTTCCAGGAGTTTACAGCTCTGAAACCTGAACCTGTATCTGCTGCTTTTTTGTAACGTTGTTGATTTGGAGAGTTTGGGGTGATACCGCCAGTCACATGTAGAGCACACACTCGGGCTGTGAGGGTTTTAATACTTTGAGGTGGTTTTAAAGAGCAAAGTGATGAAGAAGGACTTGGGTGGGACAGGACAAACGGTTTTACACAACCTCATGTTCCACTGACAGGTGTCCTTCACCTTGTTCAGTATCATCACCTGCATGATTTGTTATTCATACTAAAACTACTTTAATTTGAGGGAGTCTACAGTTATGATTTACCCCCTACGGTTTTGCCAGAATGCACAGGGTGGCCACGTTGAATAAAGAGTCTGACCAGGCATCAAACCTTCATTAAGTTTGAGTATTCAGTCTGACAGGTGACGTCCACACCAGCCGTGCACCTGCAGACTGTCAGGTAGTGAAGCAGGATTTAACACCTCCTCACTGTTTTTCCTTATTCAGTGTCTGAATCATTTATACGCTGCAGAGGATTTAATGTACAACTTTTTAGCTGCTTATGGCTTTTTTTTTTTTTATACCGGCGTTAGACTTCGACTTCAGGAGGATGACTCTTGTCAATCTTTAAGCTGTTTTATAGGGAATTTATAAAAGATCAGCACTTTGGAAATTCCACAGCTTTGCTGGAATCATCAGAACTGAAGCTCTGGCTGGTCACGGCAGAGACGTACAGCCGGTGGACATGTGAAAGATAAAGCTAATACAGCCGGTGGACATGTGAAAGATAAAACCAGCAGGGTCACCGATCAGGATCAATCAGCTGATCACTGTCCTGATGCTCTTATTGATCTGTTTATCCC